AAATACAGCACAAACAACATTTTCCAAAAGACCAAATGAGTGAAAAAGTATACTGTAAATTCAGAAATTATTGCGTGCATTTATTATTGCGATTTATGAAGAATGGACAATAATGCGAGATTAATTATTGCGATTTAAGGAAATTCTGCATACAGATGCATATATCAGATATCAGAATGCGAGTTCTAATTATTGCGATACTAACCCAGTCGCAATATTCGCATTAATAAAAACCTCGCAATAATTTCTGAATTTACAGTATTTTAACAAAACGCATTTGACTAGCAGGTCGAACAACTGATGTTCTTAAACCCTGCTGACTGCCATTGGCGATTGCCAAATAAACGGATCACAAGATGTAATAAAACAGATCTTATTATCAAATTATTACCAAACAGAAAACAATAAACTTGCGGAAAAGATGGTATACCGCAAACATGAGGTGCAAACATTTGTACACCATATCCGGATTTCGACAATTAATGTCTCTTCAGTGATGTTAGGAATCGAAACGGTATTTGGAAGGCCATATAATTTACCTCAATTTAGGATAGACTCTTGAATTTTGAAAGAGTCAAAATAGGATGAACGGATCTTATAAACCTGAAGGCAAATATAATACATGCCCAAACGAAAAAATATAAACAAGTCTAAATTGAAAACACCGTTCAAACCTATGATTGCGTTGGATAAAAACCGCATTTTTTATACGTGTGCATGCAAAACAAATTTCTTGGTAGAGGGGTCTAAATACAGCACAAACAACATTTTCCAAAAGACCAAATGAGTGAAAAAGTATATTTTAACAAAACGCATTTGTATTTTATTTGCCTTCATTTATATGATCCGTTCATCCTATTTTGACTCTTTCAAAATTCAAGAGTCTATCCTAAATTGAGGTAAATTATATGGCCTTCCAACTACCGTTTCGATTCCTAACATCACTGAAGAGACATTAATTGTCGAAATCCGGATATGGTGTACAAATGTTTGCACCTCATGTTTGCGGTATACCATCTTTTCCGCAAGTTTATTGTTTTCTGTTTGGTAATAATTTGATAATAAGATCTGTTTTATTACATCTTGTGATCCGTTTATTTGGCAATCGCCAATGGCAGTCAGCAGGGTTTAAGAACATCAGTTGTTCGACCTGCTAGTCAAATGCGTTTTGTTAAAATATACTTTTTCACTCTTTTGGTCTTTTGGTATATATATTTTATATATAGAGTGGGTGGCGCATATTTGCCATGGATTCATTTTCGCCGTTTTTGCAATTTTTTCTGTAAATTTCGTGTGCCTTTACCCAGTACTTGCCTAAATAGATGCTAAACGCTGTTTGTAATGTTCGAACTGTTGATATTCCTCTTTACCCCATTTCCAATGTTATTCGCACATATAAAGAAATACGCAGGTGTTTTTAAACGATTTTGGCAATTATGTAAGATTTATATATATGGCACGCATGCGCAGTCATAGAGTAAATATTTGTTAGAAAAATCGTATAGGAATGATATCTCAAGCTAATTCATGTAATTGCAAACAATTGTTTTTATAATATACAAGGATAATGAGGATGGTCATATCATACATTGCGGCGAAAATGTGTCCCCCATGGTACAAGAACAACTTGATTTCCTCTTGAGTTTGCGTTCATTTTTAAAACATTTAACCAATGTTTTGAAGAGAATTCCTTTATCAAACATTTTTTTCATATAGTAAACTTTCTGAAACCTACATAAAAAGTTTCAAATATTGGAATGTAGGTCGGATGTAGTTGGAAATGAACGAATTTTGCGGCGAATATATGCGTCACCCACTCTATATATAATAGATAGAAATTAAAGACACTTTAAAAATTATCAGTAATACAAGATCTTTAAACAAGTCAAATGTTGGGTACCAGTTATTAAACCCTTATAGGAGTGATTGCCCTTAAATTATGATTTTTTTTAACCCTCTTTTGTGTTTTGGGCAAAAACTAAAGAAGATAGAGAGAAAATGTAAACAGTAAAATGGTCAGCAATACAATATCGACAAAAAAAAGATTTTTGTCATGAATTCTATTCTAGTCTATAATATTTGAGAGTGACCGTTGTTGAAGATGCACATAGACCAAGGTGAGGGAAATTCTCTTTAGAGCGTCTAGGTTATTGTCTTTAAAAGCAGAAGTATAATGTATTGAATAGAGTTTTCAGATAATATCTATATTTATATATTTATAAGTCTAAATTGAAAACAACGTTGAAACCTATGATTGCTTTGGATATTTATATATTTATATAGCTATCATGGTACTGACAAAATATCGGACTTCTTAAAGCACACATGTGATAAGGATTTACCACCTTTTTCTCCTTCAAAGTGAAGAGCATAGTTTCAGCATGTTCAGTGAGGATAACTTACAGATTTATTTCCATTTGAAATTTTAAGATTGTCTGGAATTTTTTCCTCCCAAAACTGAGGAAAAATGTAGGGGTATTACCGACCCTTTGGAATGCTAGAAAAATCCATGAATCTGTATTATAATCTAAATAACTACTTATTAATTAGTGATGTCTATGTAATATAAAATAAGGAGACGAGGTACATGTATGATTGCCAATGAGACAACTATCCACCAAAGTTCAAATGAAGTGGTTGCAAGCAATTATAGGCAACCGTACGGCCTTCAACAATGAGAAAAACCCATACCGTATAGTCAGCTATAAAAGGCCCCGACATGAAAAATATGAAACAATTCAATTGAGAAAACTTATGGCCTAATTTATAACAAAACAATTAACGAAAAACAAATATGACAGACAAGAACCAACAACAACCACTGAACTACAGGCTCCTGACTTGGGACAGGCACACAAAGAATGTGGCGGGGTTAAACGTATGCTAAAAAAAAAATCAACACTACAAATATAAATGAACAATAATTGTTGAAAAGTAATTTTCCTTACATATAACTATTATGAATTGTTTAAACGGGACAAAGGAAGATAACTCCAATTGAAAATATATTCGAAATATGTCCCATTGCTCAGTACAATTCAATGTTTTAATTTTAATTACCCTTCAGTTCTAACAAGCAATTTGATTTCTTGTATTGACATGATTGAGGAAAAACATGGAGTTTTTAAGACACAAATAATGACTGCATGGTCAATCTATAGCCATCTTTCCCCTAGAGCTACCAAGAAGGTCAATCTATAGCCATCTTTTCCCCTAGAGCTACCAAAAAGGTCAATCTATAGCCATCTTTTCCCCCTAGAGCTACCAAGATATTAGATTTTAATTGTTATCAAGGCTGAGTTGATAACATAAGTAGATACATACAAGTTTACCATTAATTGTCGGTTGATTACTAATATAAAAAGGTACTCACTTAGTTTACAGATAACTGTCAATTAATAACCAATATAAAAGACGCTTTGTCAGTAGATATCCAATATGAAAAATACTCTGTCAGAGGATATCCAATATAAAAGATACTCTGTCAGAGGATATCTAATATAAAAGATAATCTCAGGGGATACCCAATATAAAAGATACTCTTGTCAGTGGATATCCAATATAAAAGATACTCTCAGGGGATATCCAACATAAAAGATACTCTTGTCAGTGGATATCCAATATAAAAGATACTCTGTCAGAGGATACCTTATATTTGTCAGTGGATATCCAATATAAAAAATACTCTGTCAGTGGATATCCAATATAAAAAATACTCTGTCAGTGGATATCCAATATAAAAGAGACTCTGTCAGAGGATATCCATAATAAAAGATACTCTGTCAGAGGATATCTAATATAAAAGATACTCTCAGGGGATATCCAATATAAAAGATACTCTTTGTCAGTGGCTATCCAGGATAAAAGATACACTGTCAGAGGATATCTAATATAAAAGATACTCTCAGGGGATATCCAATATAAAAGATACTCTTGTCAGTGGATATCCAATATAAAAGAGACTCTGTCAGAGGATATCCAATATAAAAGACACTCTGTATGTGGTTATCCAATATAAAAGATACTCTTTCAGTGGATATCCAATATAAAAGATACACTGTCAGTGGATATCCAATATAAAAGATACTCTGTCAGTGGATATCCAATATAAAACATACTCTGTCAGTGGATATCTGATATAAAAGATACTTTGTCAGTGGATATCCAATATTAAAGATACACTGTCAGAGGATATCCAATATAAAAGATACTTTGTCAGAGGATATCCAATATAAAAGATACTCTGTCAGTGGATATCCAATATAAAAGATACTCTGTCAGAGGATATCTTATATAAAAGATACTTTGTCAGTGGATATCCAATATAAAAAATACTCTGTCAGTGGATATCCAATATATGAAGATACTCTGTCAGAGGATATCCAATATAAAAGATACTCTGTCAGTGGATATCCAATATTAGAGATACTTTGTCAGAGGATATCCAATATAAAAGATACTTTGTCAGAGGATATCCAATATAAAAGATACTCTGCCAGTGGATATCTAATATAAAAGATACTCTGTCAGATGATATCCAATATTAAAGATACTTTTTCAGTAGATATTCAATGTAAGAGACCCTGTCAGTGGATATCCAATATTAAAGATACTTTGTCAGTGGATATCCAATATAAAAGAGACTCTGTCAGAGGATATCCAATATAAAAGAGACTCTGTCAGTGGATATCCAATATAAAAGATACTCTTTCAGTGTATATCCGATATAAAAGATACTTTGTCAGAGGATGTCCAATACAAAAGATACTCTGTCAGTGGATATCCAATATAAAAGATACTTTGTCAGTGGATATCCAATATAAAAGATACTCTGTCAGTGGATATCTAGTATAAAAGAGACTCAGGAGATATCCAATTTTCTGTCAGTGGATATCTTATATAAAAGATACACACTAAGCTTAGTTATGATTACTATTATAGGAACAACATTGTGTATGAGGAGCTAATTTTTAATGATATTTACATATTTATTTTTACAGAAAATATTGCATAAATAACCAGGCTCTGAAAGAACACTTTAGAAGTAAACCTCATAAGAGAAGGTAAGATCTGTTTTGTGTAATAGCTGTCAAACATAAACCCAATGATGAAATGTATGATCAATTTGGTGTAATATTTCTGCCACAAACCTAAACCCCATAATGAAAGGTATGATCTTCTTGAATCTTCCTCCCCTCTTCCCACTTACACATATATACACACAAAAATCAAATGGTCATCCAATAAATCAAAAGAACTTGATAACAGACAGCGTCTATGCTCTCATACCACAAAAAGGAACTATAGACGTGACAATACTATATAAACATGCTATAAACCACAAGTCTACACATAATTCATCCAACTGAAGAGTTAAGGAATTATCAACTGAGCATTATTTAAAATAGTTAATATTTTGATATATATATACATAATTTGTAAAATGACTCATTCTTATAAAGCAAAAATTATGCTGTACATTAATTTTGAACCAAACAATTAAGAAGAAGAATTTTAATTTATGGTCTTGCCTGTGATGAATGTCTCAGAAAGGTAGACATACAGCTGTATAGATGCTTCTCTAGATCTGGTGGCAGTGACTGATGAATGTCTCAGAAAGGTAGACATACAGCTGTAGAGATGCTTCTCTGGTGGCAGTGACTGATGAATATCTCAGAAAGGTAGACATACAGTTGTAGTGACTTCTCTGGTGGCAGTGACTGATGAATGTCTCAGAAAGGTAGACATACAACTGTAGAGATGCTTCTCTGGTGGCAGTGACTGATGAAGGTCTCAGAAAGGTAGAAATACAGCTGTAGAGATCCTTATCTGGTGGCAGTGACTGATGAATGTCTCAGAAAGGTAGACATACAGCTGTAGAGATTCTTCTCTGGTGGCAGTGACTGATGAATGTCTCAGAAAGGTAGACATACAGCTGTAGAGATGCTTCTCTGGTGGCAGTGACTGATTAAACTGTTTAAAGCTTTGTATTTCAGAAGATAGAACACCTGGATATTTCATTTAAAAATAGGAAGATGTGGCATGATTGCAAATGAGAACTATCCACCAGAGACAAAATGATGTAGATGTAGGTCACTGTACAGCCTTCAATAATGAGCAAAACCAATACCACTTAGTTAGCTATAAAAAGCCCTGACAAGACAAATGTAAAGCAATAAAACGAGAAAACCAAGGACCTGATTAATGTACAAAACAAATATGATAGACTACAACCAACACCAACCTTTTACTTTGGACAGATTTGGATATGTGGTATGGTCGTAAAGCCATATAACTTAAGTTACTATTAAAAATGGGATCTTTATAATTGAATGGAACAAGGATCCCTAGGGTCATAAAGTTATATAACCAAGGGGCAATTTAAAACCACAAGTAGTAGAAAACATCATGGCCAAAAAATAATGGTAGAAAAACAAACAATATTTTACATAACACTACACTGAAAACAAAAAAGGTGACAAAAGGGGGTTGAACTCACTCATACGATAGAAAATGGTCAGCAATTGTGTTCACTATCAACAACATTTGTGTTAATCATGTAAGAATATTTTGGTGAAGCATATCTAATGTAGGCATCACACAATAACAGATTGGTAAATAGGACAAGGAACAATTACTAGGGTTTATTGACATGCACTGTAAAGTAGATTCTCCTTCAGGGTCAAAGCATTGCAGGTAGAACCCTACACACAAGAAGAGCCAGACATTGACATACACTGTATAGTACTATTCTCTTTCAGGGTAAAAGTATTGCAGGTAGAACCCTACACACAAGAAGAGCCAGACATTGACAGGCACTGTATAGTACTATTCTCTTTCAGGGTAAATTCATTGCAGGTGGAACCCTACACACAAGAAGAGCCAGACATTGACATACACTGTATAGTACTATTCTCTTTCAGGGTAAAAGTATTGCAGGTAGAACCCTACACACAAGAAGAGACAGACATTGACATACACTGTATAGTACTATTCTCTTTCAGGGTAAAAGTATTGCAGGTAGAACCCTACACACAAGAAGAGCCAGACATTGACATACACTGTATAGTACTAATCTCTTTCAGGGTAAAAGCATTGCAGGTAGAACCCTACACACAAGAAGAGCCAGACATTGACATACACTGTATAGTACTATTCTCTTTCAGGGTAAAAGTATTGCAGGTAGAACCCTACACACAAGAAGAGCCGGACATTGACAGGCACTGTATAGTTCTATTCTCTTTCAGGGTAAATTCATTGCAGGTGGAACCCTACACACAAGAAGAGCCAGACATTGACATACACTGTATAGTACTATTCTCTTTCAGGGTGAAATAATTGCAGGTGGAACCCTACACACAAGAAGAGCCGGGTCCTACTAAAATGCGCCCGGGTGAAGAAAAAGCGCCCGGGGAAAAGAAAAAGCGCCCGGGAAAGAAAAAATAGCGCCCGGGGAAAAGAAAAGGCGCCCGGGGAAAATATATAGATATTGTATTGGCATGAGACAACTCTGTGACGATGAAATAAGTTATGCAAATTGATTTTTTTTTAATTTTAGACAAGTTTTTTGCAAATACATATAATAGACATTTGTAATTAAGTACAGAAACAAGTATGAATGTTTCAATTTTAACAATAATATATGAATACTATTTCGAAAGACAGATAATAATGGATCACAGTTTATGCTGAAGATTTATAAAATGACAGACATCAAAAGACATGTTTTTGATAACGATATCAAAATGAAAAATGTAAAAACAACTTAAATTTCACAGATAAATATTACTTTAATCAAAATTAAAAGAGTTACACATAATAAATCAGCAAATAAAGCAGTACTATACATGTACCGTAGTTAAAACAAGGGGGTAAAAAGCAGGAGTTTGGTTTAAATTTAAAACTAAGCATTAAAACCCTGATAAGCATAGCCATTAAAACAGTTTTAGTTTTATGAAAAGATATAATAAATCTATATCAGCATCTGCATATAAAACATTTACTATTGTTAAAAAAGCGCTAAAAGTAAAAAGAATATATTTAAACACTGATAAGCATAGCCATTAAAACAGTTTCAATTTAAAAAAAAAAGATATAATAAATCTATATCAGCATCTGCATATAAAACATTTACTATTGTTAAAAAAGCACTAAAAGTAAAAAGTAAATATTAAAACACTGATAAGCATAGCCATTAAAACAGTTTCAGTTTAAAAAAAGATATAATAAATCTATATCAGCATATAAAACATTTACTATTGTTAAAAAAGCATTAAAAGTAAAGCACTATGCGTCTTACCACCTATTCATACAAACTGTCAACTACATTACTGTTCATAACAAATATAATACAATGTACATTAAAAGTTATGTTGAAAATTTCAAGGTAGTGGTCTTGTTGCTACGAATACGGTTCTTTTGGTTTGGCTTCCTTGCGGTGGTTGGAGTTTTAGGAATCTTTAATTTTCCGTCAGATGATTCCACAAAATTGTCTCTAGGTTTGCTTAGATTCATAAACTTTCTGAAAATGGCGTCCTTTTCTTTTGCACATTTCGACGACCATACCACTTCTATAACTTGAAGTTTTCTAGCCCAAGGAGCCAACGCATAGTTCCCCTGTCCATGTAATGCTCGGCGTATATCTCGATATTGTAATTGAACAATTTTGTGTAGTTTGTCTATAAGGTCCGGGAGCTTAACGGCTTTCCAATTTGTCGATAGTTTCAAAATATTATTCATGGATTCGCATGAATTGTTCTTCCAGTTAATTGGGGCAATGTCTTTTTGTGCCGGTTCCCAGACATAGCTCTTCAGAGATGATGTACTACTGCTAAAATAACGTTGAAACGCGGGAACACTGTGCTCATACTTCGCTTCCAACTCCATTACCTTTAGGTCAAACTCAACATCATCTGGAGAAGAGAGGAGACCATCTACGCCAAAAACATCATTCAGCACAGTGTTGTAATTTGGGTCTTTTTCGCCAATGACTTCCCGCAAATGTCTCTTAAAATTTTCCTCAATGTGACGTGTGCAAAGAATTTGCTGGGAATCTGGAAAGCACTTGTGTATTGCTTTCGTTAAAGCCTTTTCCTCGTCCGAGCCAAAAACAAGGCTTTTGCCAGTAATCTGTGCTCCAGGAATATCGTCCAAAAAGCACTGGAGGTGGCTAAAAAATCGGTGGTAAGTTTGGAAGCTACCGTCCCAGTGGAGGTAGCATGGCCCAAGCATGATTGGCGTTCGAGTGTTTGAAACCTTTCTTATTAAGTTATGGTTGTGGAACACTGTAACAGTAACATATGCAGCCCCCAAATTAAAAGTGCGGTCCACCCCAATGATATGTTTAGATTCTGATGAGCAGAATTTTTTTCAGATCGAGAAGCTGTTCATCAGTATACACTACTACTGATGGGGGTTTGCCGGAGAGTTGGACAATTTCTTTAATGAATGGGTGACCATGTTGCATACTCATTAATGTTTGTATGTCGTCGGCATTATTAGATGCCTTCTGTTGGTGCGGTCGTTCCTTTTTCTTCTCGTTGTACTTAAAATTTTGTATCTGTTTTAAGTCTCTTGGGGCATCAATTGAATCATCTTAACGCTAGATCGGTATAAATTTCCCTGCAATTCTGTGTTTTTACCATTCCCTTGATATCATCAACAATTTGTGCATTTGTTCGGATGTAATCGCCATGTCCATTTTTATTATTTCCATGCAAACTTGTTGTTGTTGGGAAAATGCCAATATATTCCATGAACGCTACCCCATTACCGCTTGCTGGGCTCTCGGGACTGGTAACAACCCATGATATTCTCCTTTGATATTCGGGCAAGCGCTGTAGTTTCGTGTATGCTCGCTTCAACACTAACACTTCTGTTGGATTTGGTTGTGGTTCTAGCGAAACTCTTGCACCCTTTACTGTTTTTACGAAAACGCCTTTTTGGAGATCAATATACTGCAAACGCCCATTTTGGTACACAAATCTGTGGGTCTTCAAAGAGACACGACCCCATGCGCCACAATCATCTACATATTGTCTACTTTTCCCTTGCTTTTCCCTCTGTTCGTTATTTGTATTGTCAACCATATATCCAATGTTGTTTTTAATTCCTCGTGGAATATGCGGCTCCTTGTTTTTAGCATCATTTGATAAGACAAGCATGAGTTCGTCAGTGCTTAAAAATTTGCCATTATTTTCCCTTCCTTTCGGAACTTTAATGCTTGATTGTTCACTATTGTCTAAATCGGATATTTCAGAAAACTCATCGCTCGTGTTTTCTGCCATATAATCATGCATATATGTACGTGCTCTTATAGGCGACGATGTCTTCATAGTGACTGAGTGTTCCATGATCTCAGTGTTATCAAGATCTATAGTAGTTTGGTAAGTTTGGTACATAGAAGGTTTTCTAATCAAAGGCACAAAGTGATTCGCCGACCATGTGATAGTGTGATTAGGGGGTGAACAACTTGTCCACATAACAGTAAAGGTGTTATCTGTTTCATTTGATGGTAAACATGTGGTATTCAGAGTAATGAACGCAAGATCACCAGTGCCGTTAACTGGGGGATACACAACCCTAATATTGTTTCCAGTGACATTGCTCAATGCGTGAAGTGTCCATTGTGAAGAATAACCACTAGGTTTTGAACAGTCAATACATGACTTATTGTAACTTGGGGAGACTAGGAGAATGTTTCTATAATTATCAATCTTGTAATACTTGTCGCTGTTTAATGACATTTCAATGCAAGTACGGACACGGAGTTCGGTCACAAGACTGTTGTCACCCACGAGGGCCATGGAAGCAGAACTGAACAGACAACTCCTATCTGTTAAAGACGTCAATGGGACACCTGAAACCAAAATAATAGAGTTTTATAGATCGTTCCAATGTTGTACTGTCCCAGGTTAGGGGAGGGTTGGGATCCCGCTTACATGTTTTAAACATACATTATATATGTATGTGCCTGTCCAAAATTAGGAGCCTGTAATTCAGTGGTTGTCGTTTGTTGCTGTGTTACATATTATTTTTTCGTTCATTTATTTTTTACATAAATTAGCTAAAATGTTATTATAAATATAGGTTTCCGGTATTTTCTTTATAGGACCAAGAATCTCTCACCATTTTCGTTCATATTGTATCGTTCCAACAGCAGTTTGGATGTAGCATGGTCCAAGTGTACCGCCAACTTCTCTTCGCTGTACTCAGCTTCAGTCATTGTGGGTAGCATTCCCTTTTCTCTTTTGCAGCAAAATCGTAGGTAATCAAATCCCTTTTCACCAGCCTGAAAGCGATCAATTTCTTTATAAATACCAGATATGAAATACACACAAATGGTTTTGTATATTAACGATTGTGGTTAATCGGATTACCGTAATCAGCGTGTCGTGTGTACAGTTAACGATTGTTAATTAGTCTTATCTTATTATATTATCAGATGTGAAATACACACAAATGGTTTTGAATATTAACGATTGTGGTTATAATCGGATTACCGTAATCAGCGTGTCGTGTGTAAGTTAACGATTGTTAATTAGTCTTAGCTTATTATATATATATACATATCATTTCAATTCTTTATTACTTTAAGCATATATATGATTGTTAAAAATGAAAACGGGGGTAGAATATTGAAATATTAAAATTCCATAAGCGTACATTTTGGCTGAACTGAAAGTTTTATTATTTTCTCTCTATTATTCATAAAATATATTTCAAATCTCACCTCTGTCAATCGTAATAAAGCTGATGTGTATGTGTATTCATCTGACTGGTCATGGGAAAAACACCCTTTGCATGAATAATTCACATTTTTGTCTGTGAGGAACATCTCAAAGTCTGCCAATTCCAGCTCTTCACATCGTAGATGGTACCACGTATCACAAGTGTCGCAGCAGATGCTAGCAATTTTACAGTTTTTACGGCATATTCCACAAGGCCAGAATATCATATTAGCTTTAGCTTTAGCAGTGGGTTTAACTTTTCTTTTCTTAGTGGCAGGCATGTTGAAACCCTTCCACGATCTTCCACCGTCAATTCAAGTGTGTTTGATAAAATACAAAACTTTGAAAAGTGTTCACCATGCATTTGCGAATATTAGACCTCAGGCACTGATTATATTTAAATAACGAAGTATACATTTTGATCGAGGACAATATCGTTCATGATTCTTCTATATACTATTGTTTATACTTACTTACTTACTATATACAATTTTGAAATCTAAAATGTAAAAGTGCAACAACACTATCTACACACTTTAGATGTAGCATCGTGCATATCACCATTTATATTAGGAAAACATTTATTGTTATAAAATATTGTTATTTTATTCTCCCGGGCGCTATTTTTCCTTCCCCGGGCGCTTTTTCTTTTCCCCGGGCGCTTTTTCTTTTCCCGGGCGCTTTTTAGTAGGACCGGAAGAGCCAGACATTGACAGGCACTGTATAGTACTATTCTCTTTCAGGGTAAAAGCATACAAGAAGAGCCAGACATTGACATACACTGTGTAGTACTAATCTCTTTCAGGGTAAAATCATTGCAGGTGGAACCCTACACACAAGAAGAGCCGGACATTGACAGGCACTGTATAGTACTATTCTCTTTCAGGGTAAAATCATTGCAGGTAGAACCCTACACACAAGAAGAGCCAGCGTTGACATACACTGTATAGTACTATTCTCTTTCAGGGTAAAAGCATTACAGGTAGAACCTTACACACAAGAGGAGGCAACCATTGACAGGCACTGTATAGTACTATTCTCTTTCAAGGTAAAAGTATTGCAGGTGGAACCCTACACACAAGAAGAGCCGGACATTGACAGGCACTGTATAGTACTATTCTCTTTCAGGGTAAATTCATTGCAGGTGGAACCCTTCACACAAGAGGCAACCATTGACAGGCACTGTATAGTACTATTGTCTTTCAGGGTAAAAGCATTGCAGGTAGAACCCTACAATCAAGAAGAGCCAGACATTGACATACACTGTATAGTACTAATCTCTTTCAGGGTAAAATCATTGCAGGTCGAACCCTACACACAAGAAGAGCCAGACATTGACATACACTGTATAGTACTATTCTCTTTCAGGGTGAAATAATTGCAGGTGGAACCCTACACACAAGAAGAGCCAGACATTGACAGGCACTGTATAGTACTATTCTCTTTCAGGGTAAAAGCATACAAGGAGAGCCAGACATTGACATACACTGTGTAGTACTAATCTCTTTCAGGGTAAAATCATTGCAGGTGGAACCCTACACACAAGAAGAGCCGGACATTGACAGGCACTGTATAGTACTATTCTCTTTCAGGGTAAAATCATTGCAGGTAGAACCCTACACACAAGAAGAGCCAGCGTTGACATACACTGTATAGTACTATTCTCTTTCAGGGTAAAAGCATTACAGGTAGAACCTTACACACAAGAGGAGGCAACCATTGACAGGCACTGTATAGTACTATTCTCTTTCAAGGTAAAAGTATTGCAGGTGGAACCCTACACACAAGAAGAGCCGGACATTGCCAGGCACTGTATAGTACTATTCTCTTTCAGGGTAAATTCATTGCAGGTGGAACCCTACACACAAGAGGCAACCATTGACAGGCACTGTATAGTACTATTGTCTTTCAGGGTAAAAGCATTGCAGGTAGAACCCTACAATCAAGAAGAGCCAGACATTGACATACACTGTATAGTACTAATCTCTTTCAGGGTAAAATCATTGCAGGTAGAACCCTACACACAAGAAGAGCCAGACATTGACATACACTGTATAGTACTAATCTCTTTCAGGGTAAAATCATTGCAGGTCGAACCCTACACACAAGAAGAGCCAGGCATTGACAGGCACTGTATAGTACTACTCTCTTTCAGGGTAAAATCATTGCAGGTAGAACCATACACACAAGAGGAGGCAGACATTGACAGGCACTGTATAGTACTATTCTCTTTCAGGGTAAAAGCATTGCAGGTAGAACCCTACACACAAGAAGAGCCAGGCATTGACAGGCACTGTATGGTACTATTCTCTTTATGGGTGAAAGCATTACAGGCAGAACCCTGCACACAAGAGGAGGCAGACATTGACATACACTGTATAGTACTATTCTCTTTCAGTGTAAAAGCATTACAGGCAGAACCCTACACACAAGAGTAGGCAGACATTGACAGGCACTGAATAGTACTATTCTCTTTCAGGGTAAAAGCATTACAGGTAGAACCCTACACACAAGAGGAGACAACCATTGACATACACTGTATAGTACTATTCTCTTTCAGGGTAAAAGTATTGCAGGTGGAACCCTACACACAAGAAGAGCCAGCGTTGACATACACTGTATAGTACTATTCTCTTTCAGGGTAAAAGCATTACAGGTAGAACCCTACACACAAGAGGAGGCAGACAGAGCTGCTGGTATGGGATCTTACAAAGAACCAAAAAAACTACAGGTGGAAACACAGTCAATTAAAGAAGATATGGACACTGAACTTTGTGAAGAAGACAAAACATGACTGACATATGATCAGAATAAATTAGCTGTGATAATATTTGTTGACTAAAAGGAAGGAAAAATGTGCACACAATAAGTAAAATGTTTAAACTCTAATGACTTTGAATTTAATAAGTGTCATAATGCCAGATTTTGTCTCGCCTGTGATGAAAGTTGCTGAAGGGAAGACATAGTTGTTTTTCTGGTGGCAGTGGCGTTGTGGACGCCGTCAACAATTGTTAAGTTTTCTGCTTAAGTTAGTTTGATAGGAAATACTTGTGATAGATCAATGATATTTTCTAAAAAGTTGCATTACTATCAGTACATATCAGTTTAACGACTATTGCGAGGCCTTGCCCCCTTGTTCATGGTTTATCGACTTTGAATTAAGTAGCGATTTTCAATGTTGAGTTTTCTGCCTAAGTTAGTTTGATAGGAAATACTTGTGATGGATCAATGATATTTTCTTTAAAGTTGCATTACTATCAGTACATATCAGTTTAACAACTATTGCGAGGCCTTGCCCCCTTGTTCATGGTTTATCGACTTTAAATTAAGTAGCGATTTTCAATGTTGAGTTTTCTGCTTAAGTTAGTTTGATAGGAAATACTTGTGATAGATCAATGATATTTTCTTTAAAGTTGCATTACTATCAGTACATATCAGTTTAAAGACTATTGCAAGGCCTTGCCCCCTTGTTCATGGTTTATCGACTTTGAATTAATTAGCAATTTTCAATGTTGAGTTTTCTGCTTAAGTTAGTTTGATAGGAACTACTTGTGATGGATCAATGATATTTTCTATAAAATTGCATTACTATCAGTACATATCAGTTTAACAACTATTGCGAGGCCTTGCCCCCTTGATCATGGTTTATCGACTTTGAATTAATTAGCAATTTTCAATGTTGAGTTTTCTGCTTAAGTTAGTTTGATAGGAACTACTTGTGATGGATCAATGATATTTTCTATAAAGTTGCATTACTTTCAGTACATATCAGTTTGATGACTACTGTAAATTCAGAAATTATTGCGATTTTTCAAGAATGGACAAAAATGCGAGATTAATTATTGCGATATCAGGAAAATCTGCATACAGGTATATGTAACAGATATCTGAATGCGAGTTCTTATTATTGCGATAATCACTCAGTCGCGTTATTGGCATTAATAAAAACCTCGCAATAAATTCTGAATTTACAGTATTTTGACGCCCTGCCCCCTAGGTCATGGTCCAGTGGCTTTGAATTAATTAGCAATGTTACTGTCCATCAGATTGTCTTTTTCTGAATTTTCTGGTAACAGGCGAGACATATTTCTGTTTTAACAGTACATTATTTAATTTAGGCCACACCAATTTGATTGCTCTTTCTTTGGATTTTCTGGTAACAGGCGAGACATATTTCTGTTTTAACAATACATTATTTAATTAAGGGAGCTACCATTTGATTTTTATGGGGGGGCTAGGATGAAATTTGAAAAAAAATAGGCAGGACAGGAGTTTTGAGTAAAAAAAAAGGCAGGATGAGACACTTTGCAAAAAAAAAAGGCAGGATGACAATTTAGGTAAAAAAAAGTCTGGATAAACTAAAAAAAAAAAAAGGCAGGACCGAATAGAGTGAAAAATAAAAAAGCAGGACAGAGATTACAACTAAAAAAAAATGCAGGACAACATTTTTCATCCTAGCCCCCCATAAAAATCAAATGGCAGCTCCCTTAGGCCACACCAATTTGATTGCTCTTTCTTTGGATTTTCTGGTAACAGGGAGACATATTTCTGTTTTAACAGTACATTATTTAATTTAGGCCACACCAATTTGATTGCTCTTTCTTTGGATTTTCTGGTAACAGGCGAGACATATTTCTGTTTTAACAATACATTATTTAATTAAGGGAGCTACCATTTGATTTTTATGGGGGGGCTAGGATGAAATTTGAAAAAAAATAGGCAGGACAGGAGTTTTGAGTAAAAAAAAAGGCAGGATGAGACACTTTGCAAAAAAAAAAGGCAGGATGACAATTCAGGTAAAAAAAAGTCTGGATAAACTAAAAAAAAAAAAAGGCAGGACTGAATAGAGTGAAAAATAAAAAAGCAGGACAGAGATTACAACTAAAAAAAAATGCAGGACAACATTTTTCATCCTAGCCCCCCATAAAAATCAAATGGCAGCTCCCTTAGGCCACACCAATTTGATTGCTCTTGCTTTGGATTTTCTGGTAACAGGGAGACATATTTCTGTTTTAACAGTACATTATTTAATTTAGGCCACACCAATTTGATTGCTCTTTCTTTGGATTTTCTGGTAACAGGCGAGACATATTTCTGTTTTAACAATACATTATTTAATTAAGGGAGCTACCATTTGATTTTTATGGGGGGGCTAGGATGAAATTTGAAAAAAAATAGGCAGGACAGGAGTTTTGAGTAAAAAAAAAGGCAGGATGAGACACTTTGCAAAAAAAAAAGGCAGGATGACAATTCAGGTAAAAAAAAGTCTGGATAAACAAAAAAAAAAAAAAGGCAGGACCGAATAGAGTGAAAAATAAAAAAGCAGGACAGAGATTACAACTAAAAAAAAAGGCAGGACAACATTTTTCATCCTAGCCCCCCATAAAAATCAAATGGCAGCTCCCTTAGGCCACACCAATTTGATTGCTCTTGCTTTGGATTTTCTGGTAACAGGGAGACATATTTCTGTTTTAACAGTACATTATTTAATTTAGGCCACACCAATTTGATTGCTCTTTCTTTGGATTTTCTGGTAACAGGCGAGACATATTTCTGTTTCAACAGTACATTATTTAATTTAGGCCACACCAATTTGATTGCTCTTTCTTTGGATTTTCTGGTAACAGGCGAGACATATTTCTATTTCAACAGTATTTAATTTAGGCCACACCAATTTGATTGCTCTTTCTTTGGATTTTCTGGTAACAGGCGAGACATATTTCTATTTCAACAGTATTTAATTTAGGCCACACCAATTTGATTGCTTCTTCTTTGGATTTTCCAACTATTGTTTAAGAAAAATCAACTTTTCAACAAATTAATTACTGCCTCTACCCTCAAATAAGTCTTACCTTGAAATTTTGTTCACTCTGACGCTTTCATGTTGCATATGATATCCATTTGTGATGAATCAATATACATGTATATGTAAAAGGATATATAAAAATCAAAATGGCAAGTCCATCAGTTGTTGTTACAGCTCATTGACGTGGACAGACCATCATTGAACAAACAGCTATCTGGGTAAACCCGCTGCATTTGTTTGCACCTGTCCTAAGTCAGGAATCTGATGTTCAGTAGTTGTCGTTTGTTGATGTGGTTCATAAGTGTTTCTCGTTTCTCGTTTTTTATATAGATTAGACCGTTGGTTTTCCCGTTTGAATGGTTTTACACTAGTAATTTTTTGGGGCCCTTTATAGCTTACTGTTCGGTGTGAGCCAAGGCTCCGTGTTGAAGACCGTACTGTGACCTATAATGGTTTACTTTTATAAATTTTTACTTGGATGGAGAGTTGTCTCATTGGCACTCATACCACATCTTCTTATATCTAATTAATCAACTTTTACATTTGAAGATATTTTCTATGAAGCAAAAAGATTAAAGTCTGTCAATATTTCTTTTGATATCAAACACACACAAATTAGCAACAACCATCAACACCACCTATTATTGTTGGCACAGACAAGGACATTTCTATGTGAAGAGAGTTGTAAATAAATAGCAGACTGTAAAAGCCTGTTGTGTAACTAGGAAGTGGAAATCAGTTATTTTGGTATTACTAAGCAACTGTTAGTTTGGTGTTACAAAGCAATAGTTATTTTGGTGTAACTAAGCAACAGTTATTTTGGTGTTACTATGCAACAGTTATTTTGGTGTTACTATGCAACAGTTATTTTGGTGTTACTATGCAACAGTTTGTTCCATCATGCGGCATTTACTGTTGAACAACTGAAGATTTACTAGATGAGGTGGATGGCTATATACAAAACTTATAGACCATGCTTTCAGTTGTTTGACCATTGTGTAAAATCTGTAGAAGTGCAGGAAAAGAGGCTAAAACATGGGGGGGGGGGAACAAATATTTTGTCAAAAAATCATAGACCGTTCTATTAACTTGATTTGAAGAGCAGGTGTTTTAATAACGGAATATGTCAAAATCATACCATCAAAATAAAAATTGAATGATAATAAGAATTTAATCATTCCCAGAGTGCATCTTACAAGTAGAAGTTTGTATTGTTGAGACCTCATACTCCCCGAGTTGTCTTTTAGCATGCAAGTAGAGCTCTTGAATCCAACGAAACCTCATACATTGTCATAAAAGGCTGTTAACCAAATAGTCATACACAGAAAGTATTAATGGTCTTGTAATTTCTATGCTCTTTACATTTGTGAAGGTCATTGGCATGGGCATTTCTGAGTCACATTTAAGATTTTTTTTAAATATTAGCTGCTTTTAGATGTAAGAGTTGAGATTGGGTTGCTTAGAGTCAAAATTATGTATTTAAATGGGGTGACAGGCCTTTGAAAGGAAAATTTAATACCATGTAACCTTGCAAAATGAATATCTTGCTTAATAACATATTGTTCTAATGAAAAACAAGAAGTATTCTATTCACTCATTCTTTTGGTCCTGAACATGCGTGAATGATTTGCAGTAAAGTGAGAGTTGTTTCTCCACTTTGAAGACCTGTTCCTGTACTTTTTTGTCTCGCCTGCCTTGACGGAGTCAAAAACTGAGACTAAGGTATGCTGATTCTGACGGCAGCTGCATCAACAAAGTATTAGTTTGTGGTTACAAAAATGTCAGTTTATGTGGAACCACTAGGTCAATGATATTTGGTATGCAGTTGTATTAGCAATGGCACATCTCATTTCCAAGGAGACTATTTGGCCCCACCCCCTCAGTCATGGTCTACTGACTTTGAATCTTTTGTTTACTTGACATGCATTAGTCTGTGATTAGGTCAGTTTAAAGGGAACCACTGGAAGGAGGTCAATGATATTTGGTATGCAGTTGTATTAGCATTTGTCACATCCCATTTCCATGGAGATTACTTGTCCCCACCCCATCAGTCATGGTCTATTGACTTAGAAACGTTTGCTTG